CCCTGATTATTTTTCCTGTCTTCTTTCTGTCAACTCTCTGCTTTTCCGGGGGAGCTTTTATCCCGTTGTTTGGGGGGCGGGGGTTAAAGGAGGGAGGCATGTTGAAAATAGTTTCCGGAGCCCCACTCCTGAAGATTCTAATTCCCTAGGGCTGGGCGATGCCCAGGAATTCGCAGTTTTATAAGCACTCCAGTGACTCTGATGGAGGTGGTCTGTCCTACGTTTTAAAAAAACAACAAAACACTATACTGGCCCGCTTGGCTGTGCCTGCAGGGGCCACACCGCTGTTCGGGGGCAGGTTCCAGGATGGAGCTCGGTAGGGCGCCGCCTGTGTGTGGTCAGGTGTGCAGGGTGCCTGGAAAGTGGGTCAGAACTTGGCTCCTTGTGCAAAATCCTGGAAGTAGATCTCGGAAGCAGTGGCCTTTCCCCCAGAGGCTCGGTCCTCACTCTGCTTCTCAAGAACAAGCAGACAGAACCAAGATTTAAGTCATTTAATCCAGAGTGATTTTCTAGGTCTTCCAGTATGCTGCTTCCTTAGCTGATAACATCCCGAGAGTGAGTGCAAAGGAAGACACGGAGAAAAGGGAGTGGTATTTGCCTTTAACAGAGGAACATTCTTGTTTAAATTCTCTGGTGTTGGCTTTCTCCCAACAAGGGTAGGTTATTGGCTGATAACAAAGTTTCCTTCCTTCTGTTAACCAGCTGGTCATTTATCCTTTTTGTTTAATGAGAGATTCCTTATTTGGAACCCCAGAGGCCGGGTAAAAGAGGTTTCTCAGCCTTGCGCTGTCAAATCTCAGGCTGAATCAGGAGTGGGGGAAAATCCCCAAAGTGGCCTGTTGAAACCCATTTTTCCCTCGACCGCATTCGGATCAAGCATGGCGTAAGAACGTCACAGGAAAAGGCACACCCTCTCTTGCCATAGGGAAAAGTTCAATCAAGTGGCATTTATACAATTGCATGGGAGACGCCTGCCCTGTTCAGAGGTTTTAAAGAGGAAATAAGTTAGCAATACATGTTTCTGGAACACATTTATATAATCAACAAATATTTGTGTGCCTGCTCTGTGCCCAGGCCTAGGGATGTGGTTGTGAGAGGTTCAAGGTCCACTCTTGTGGCGCTTTTCTAGTCCGAGGAGAGAGAGAACAAACAAATACATGAGCAAGATAATGTCAGATAGTGTTAAGTGCTGTGAATATAGTAACTGATGTAAAGAAACTGAGGGTGGCCCTAACCGGTTTGGCTCTGTGGATAGAGTGCCGGCCTGCAGACTCAAGGGTCCCAGGTTCGATTCCAGTCAAGGCATGTACCTTGGTTGTGGGCACATCCCCAGTAGGGAGTGTGCAGGAGGCAGCTGATCGATGTTTCTCTCTGATGGATGTTTCTAATTCTCTAGTCCTCTCCCATCCTCTCTGTAAAAATTCAATAAAATAAAAAAAGAAACTGAGGATGTAATGTACATAACGGCCCACAGAGGCCAGTGCAAAGGGTGCACACGAGAAACTTCAAGTTTGATTCAATAATGAAAAGGAGTGGAAGTAAGTTTGTTAAGGGAGTCTGTGCAATAGGCCGAGTGGAGTCGCAGATAGACTTGAGTTTGGTCTGTGTCAGGCACTTACTGGGGAGTCAGAACAGTCCCCACACCCTCTTATACACAGGGTGTTTCACAACCAGTGGGGACATAAGCGAGTGGCTCTGCTTTAGGGTGTGTGGGTTTCGGAGTCAGGTCGCACAGCCAAAGAGGAACTGAGCTAGTGGAGTCAGTGACCGTGGGAACAGGCTTGTTCTTTTGTTTTGGAGGTTAGGGTTGTAGGTGCAAGTTTGAAGTGGTAGTATTTATAGCCTTTTCCCTCCCTTTTTGAAGTGAATGGCTCTTCTTCCTCAAGGAGGCTGCCACCTCCCAGTTGTGTGTTAGCACATTGGGTGTTTCTTGAACCTGCAGGACAAGAGTTCTCCCACCATAGGGGATGGTTGGTATAAACTGAAGTTCTCTCTGGTGTTTCTGCCTTCCTCCTGCCCTGGGTTTAGACTCTAAAGTTACAGGATGCCAAGGTGAGCTAGCTGAGTCTGAGGTGAGAGGCAGGCTCATCTCACTCTTTATAGAAATATTGAGCATATGGAATCTGCTTTTGGGAACGTTATTATGGTGGAACTTGTGAAATGTCCATTGAGTACATTTGTAGGTATCTCAGGAGCCTAGAAACCTCCATTTGGAGAATAAAATTCTGTGTACTCTCACATATATCATTGTTCATGCTGTATTGGGTTTTATCTTTTTTCTTTTCTATTGGATATTATTCATTTACCATAAAATTTGCCCTTTTAAAGTCTACAGTTTGGTGGTTTTTAGTATATTCACGAAGTTGTGCAACCTTTAGAATATTTTCATCACCCAAAAAACCCCATTAGCAGTCACTTCCCACACAGCCCCTCCCCTGTTCTCCACAACCACTAATTTACTTTCTGTCTGTATAGATTTGCCTATTCTGGTTATTCTGTATAAATGAAATCATACAATATGTGGTGTTTAGTATCTGGCTTTTTAAAAATATATATTTTTATTGATTTCAGAGAGGAAGGGAGAGAGAGATAGAAACATCAGTGATGAGAGAGAACCGTTGATTGGCTGCCTCCTGCAGATCCCCTACTGAAGATTGAGCCCAATATCTGGGCATGTGCCTTTGATTGGGGAATCAAACCCGGGACCCTTCAGTCCGCAGGCCGGCACTCTATCCACTGAGCAAAACCAGTCAGGGCTAGTATCTGGCTTTTTAAAAAAACACAGCATAATGTTTTCAAAAGGTAATTAATGTTGAAGCATTTATTAGTACTTCATTCCATTTCTCTTTTTTTAAATCCTCATCCGAGGATATTTTTCCATTGATTTAGAGAGAGTGGAAGAGAGAGGGAAAGACAGAGAGAAACATTGATGTGAGAGAAACACATTGTTTGGTTGACTTCTGCACGAGCTCTGACCAGGGCCCCAGCCCTGAGAGGAGCCTGCAACCGAGGTACATGCCCTTGACTGAAATCGAACCCGGGACCCTTCAGTCTGCAAGCCTGCGCTCCATCCACTGAACCAAACTGGCTAAGGCAGTATTTCATTTCTTTTTATAGCCAAATAATATTACATTGTATGGCTAGAGTCTAGCCCAGCCGTGGGCAAACTACGGTCCGCGGGCCGGATCCGGCCTGTTTGAAATGAATAAAACTAAAAAAAAAAAAAAAAGACCATACCCTTTTATGTAATGATGTTTACTTTGAATTTATATTAGTTCACACAAACACTCCATCCATGCTTTTGTTCCGGCCCTCCGGTCCAGTTTAAGAACCCATTGTGGCTCTCGAGTCAAAAAGTTTGCCCACCCCTGCGCTAGACTATATTCTTTTTATCCTTTTATTTATCCATTGATGTGTATTAGGGTTGTTTCCACTTTTTGGCTATTATGAATAACATTGCTGTGAACATAAGTGTGCTGGTTTTTGTGTTTTCTGTTCTTTTGGATTTATATCTAGTAGTGGAATTGGGCAGGAGGGGTAGACTCTGCCACCAGTCCCATGTGTGGGAAATTGCTGTCTCCTCTGGGCCTCACGTGTGGGGTGGGCATTGAGGAAGGAGCACAGCACAGGAGTCAGCAGCCTATGCTTAGTCCTAACACTGCCACTGATCCACTGTGTGGCTTGGGTGGAAATCACTTTGACTTTATTGGTTTGTTTCTACATATGGGTTTGGACTTGATGCTTTCTGAATTCCAGGTTGAAAATTTTGTGATTTAGAATACTTGGATTTAAGGTGACTTTTGCCAGTCTTTATATATACTAGTATATATATAAAAGGCTAATATGCAAAGTATCCCCTCGGGAGTTCGACCAGAAGACCAGGAGTTTGATCACTCACTATGATGGGCGCTGACCACCAGGGGGTGGCG